CGCTGACTTACACAGAACTGCCTTTAAGAAACTCTGCTTATCCATGGCTTTACAACCTTTGCCGATATGAGCTGCCTTGGTGATGTCTTGAAGGCGGGAAATCATGACAAGATCTTGACTTCAAATGATGGAATCGCACATGGTTTTAGACAGAAAAAAAGTTAAGAAGACTCGGTCTTAAATTTACTGTGTATGTTAATTAATGTGATGCAGAGGTGAATCGTCTCTAGTCGGTGAAGCAAACTTAAAACTTGTCAACACATCTAAAGTGAGCCTCATTTTAATTTGGGATTGAAATAGAACATGGAAGTACTTTTCGATTGATCACTCAAACATCTCCACAGTCTCGGGAACAAAAAATTGTTCCCATATTTTGGGAGTTTAAGGAAAAGGCGAGCATTCAAAATGTTGCTGATCTCTGAATAACCATTCCTGCATTGCCATTTCCATAGTGAGTCAAATTTTAAGTGTCGCTTCCTCGTTAATTATTTTCTAACTGTCTAGCAGTAATTTTCTTTTAAAAACACCCTTTGCAAATACTGGTTTTCCACAACGAGTTCTTTTTTTAACCTTTTTTCTTCCCTTCTGCATTAAAATGGCGTCCACGGCAACCGTCCCCCTTCAAATTCTCACTCGTTGAAAAAACGTACAAAAAACTTTATATTTTTACAATAGCCTTATTGGATGTTTTCCTTATTTTTGTATATGTTCATTTCGGTCTTCTCAAATTACTACCCACTCGGAGTACATCACCACGCCCCTCTCAAAGCTTCACACTTCCAAGATCGGATTCAAAGACGGTTTTTTAATAGTTTTTTAGTTAGTTACAAAACGGCAGTTATACACATTAACAAAAATCAATATGGTGGTTGTAGAATTTTTCATGGTAATAAAGTCGAAATGGGTCGTCTAAGGAGAGGTATTTGGGTAGAAAAATTCAAAAAATCTGTCACACAGCAACCGTGACATATGGCAGTAAGGTGGTGGTCTTCTCCACTTTTTTCCCCTACGCGATATAAACAAACTAAAAAAAGGTTTCTCCGTTTAATATTACGCATTGGAAAGTGAAATGTGGAAAAAAATTGGGAGAATTTTCGCGCAGAAAATGAAGATTTATTTGCGCACGGTTGGAGTTTCATGCTACGCGGAGTGCAGTTGGTATGGGCTATCTTTGAGATAAAATGTAATTATTTTATGCTTTTACAACTAAAATTAGATATATTTTTTAATTATTTTTGATTAGAAACCACCACCAAGAGATTTTCAAAAGCAACAGACGTCGCACTCCCAAGAAGTCAATTTGAGGGAGTGGCCGGCGGGTGTCACAAACTCCTGGTTGATTGCACGGACAATCTTGGCACTTGAAGAAGTTGACATTAGTCTAGACGGTTCGGCAACTTTAATACCACCTCCTCTCCGTTTGAACTGCTATGTTGAACGCTTTTGATTGGCGGAAAGCATCGTTCACTAACTTTTTTAATTTAGGAAAAAGCTGACATTAGACACGTCAAATAAGGATTTAAATGCAGACGAGTTCAATTAAAAACAGTTTTTAGCCTATGATTCGATAATTAAAGTCGCAGTAGGAAGTTTATAAACGATGCTGCATCAAGAAATCGCAGCACCAATACTGTAGAGATAAATCGCTACCGACAGATCTTCTACCGCTGTAGGAGTCGCATGACCATGAAGTTGACACCTGATCGGGTGCCACAAACTTCTGCTTGACAGCACCGACATTATTGGCACTTCGGAGGAATAACATTATTTTGCTTGGTAGATATCGGTGTTTGGCCGTTACAACGCCTTCTCTTCTCCATTTGTATTACCATGTCAAGCCCTTGTGATGGTTGGAATGCATCATCCACCATTTTACGGCACACGACAGCTCGGTGAGAGATAACAATGATTCACTCCCGTACCGCAGCAGAATTAATACAGACTTCTCCACATTCACTCGTTTTCCTCCTTGCAATAAGAAATTCCAACGCTCTATTGAAGTGATTGTTTTGGTGACAGTTTAAGGCAACTGTGACTTCTAGAATGTCTGCCTCTAACTTATAAGGTTCCATGTTTCTAACACCACTTGTTGCAACAAATCCTCTTGGATTATCCAAAAACTTCCAGTTTATCCTTCGTTACCTGCGTTCCCGTCAGTAGTGAATCACTGATATTTTCATTTTTGTACTTTGAAAGTTCAAAGCCTACTCCCAAGAATTTTCTTTTAAGCCTGGTTAAACCTTGACCTCTCGTTTACGGAAACTTAAAATGTACTAGCAAAAAAGTCCTACCAAAACACGCGAACTACTGCCGTGTAAATCTACTTCTTAAAGAAGCCACAAGGCTCATGCTTAATTTACTACTTTTAAAAAACCGGACTTAGGCCAAATTACCGCTTATTTTGATTGGAGGCTTTTTTTTAATCTGGCAACTGAGACGATTTTTCAACCGTGAAAGTGCCTCGAGGACATAGATCCACCCATCTGGTCGTAAAAAGACCACTTTATTGCATTCGCCTCTGATGTCTCTGTGCTCCCCTGTCTCCCTATCCTCTGTCACAAAGGATTGCTGCACCGGGTGGCTGGGCGTTGTCTTTGTTGTTCTGAGTCACGGCCACTTTTCCCTGAAGTGGAGTTTTTACCGTCATGTTGTGGAGTGGAGCAGACCACATGCGTAGTCTGCGACCCTGTCTACTAAGGCCTCGGCAGCAGAGGCCGTGCTTAAGTGGCCTTTCCCCATTCCCCCTGTGTCGCTGTTTCGACGCACTACCGGCCGTGCCTATGGTGAACGCTAAGTAGTCGGCCGACAGGGGGATTTTGATGAGGTCAGGTCAATCCTCTTATCCCATGAAAGGTAATGGAATTTTGTCAATCACAAGCCCTACACGATCGTTGTCTGGTTTGAGGATAAATACGTATATACATAAAAATCTCATTATTATACAGCAATCGCTACCTTACTTCGATGATGATCCAGGGAATACCTCATCACACGATAGAAATAGCAGTTCAGTAGGATTCGTTCACCACTCTCCCCGTCGGACGCAACTGTCCAAAGATAGCTACTCGGGCAAGTAATTTTTCTAAAGAAAGAGTGTGTTTTGCATGTCGATCCCTTTCCACTGAAAAGTCTACCTGACATCAAAACCAACCCAATAACCAGCGCATTTCTACGCGCTGAAGAAGAATTGAAGACCTCCAACGAAATCAACGGTGCTAGGTGATTATTTTTGTGGTCCATTGAAATCCGCTAAGCTGACCACGTCTTGTTTGATTTGAGTCTATGCATAGAATTTATCCCCAATTGATAAACTCGAGGTTAAGCAGACAAATTTTAGTAATTGGTTTACATTCTGACAGCACATACAACACGCTCATGCAGTCAGTCAGGTCGGCTCTTCACCATCGTCCTGCACCATTCAGGGAATTCTATCAGTGATCTCTCGATTCCTAAAAATCACTTGTCTCTTACCTTCCTGTTCTGACTGGTTCTTTGTGCAATCCTATTTAGGCAGTCATTAGTTGCCTCAGGTATTGCGACGACTTCGTAGCTCTATTGTAGCAAATTAGTTGCTCGACAAACTTCCAATGGCGATTGATAAACCTATTTCCGCCATTGTCAAAGTAAATCACCCTAATCATTCAACACAAAGCTTTCACTTCCAAGTACGATGTGTTATAAAACTCCTTGATTTAGCCCTCCCTCAGCCGAAGCATCTAAAGATAAAACCCTCAAAATAAATGAAAGCTAAAAGTCAGGGACATTATTCCCCCATGTTTACTCAATTAATTTGGAAAGAAAACGAGTCTGTCGTCTGAACTAAGCGGTGGAAAGTGCTATTAACTTCTACCACCACGGAAAGCACCCGAGTTAGGGTGGCCTAAGGGTTGAGATTAATGGATCGTGAATCATATGCCTACTTCAGAAGGCAGTCGAGAAACCTACCTACAGAGGACACGTTTTTGCTGCTTCCCACTTTTGAAGTGGAACCGAACAAACAAAAGGAGCTCCTAAGTACAGATATTCCCTGTATTAAAGACAGGATGGACACTTCTTTCCTTATCTGGTCCTTCAATATTATGGAAATTATGTACCATTTGTCTACCATAAACAAAAGTCTCCTCTTGAAATGGATAACATAAGGTGCATAATGAAAAGTCACTTCCATTACTAGAAATGTCGTACTAGTATCTGGACAAAAACTATTTGATGTTACCGTTAATACGTGATATTCAGCCCGGCACATGATTCAGCGGGAAGTGAGAATAAAAGCTCCGCATGATGGAAAAACGCATTGCCACTTCCATTGTTGTAACAACATCGGAATAAAAGTGGTATTGTAAAAGAGTGACAAGGGTGAGTAAGTCCACGGGCTCTGGCAATGGCATTTCCATGTTTAAAGGCGAGAAATTAACAAAGAAATTTTATCGTCCTTCTCTTCATGACCCTACTCATGGAAAACTTCAGTGTTGCATTGACTACACAGTACAGCGTGAATCCTAACCGACTTCGTAAGCCTGAAGTTGACAATGGGATTACCTTGCTCTGGAACCATTCTAAACTAGGCCTCTTGCCATTTAAGTCAAACTCTGACTTTGTGCTTAAATCTACAACTCGTAGTTCCCCAAGTTCCGAATTCCTGGGGTTTAAACTCTGAAAAATAAAACTCCTAGCTCTTTGTAGTATCGTGAAGAGTAAATTAGCTGAGAGATGTGACAAAGTGGAAGAATCGGCGACTACTAGATAAGGCTAAACAAGAAGTTCGCCTCCTAGACCGCAAAATTTTCGGAAGAAAAGTCATCCTAATAATTATCCTTCTTTACAATTTTAGTGTAAAGAAGCAAATATCAATTAACAAGGAAATTTTCTTAACAATTGTGCTCAACAATTTTTCCACTTGTTGGTTGACATAAGCTTTCCATTCCTTATAATCAGCGAAATGAATGGCTTAAAAGTGCTACTCCGCCCATTTGTGCGCAATCTTTGAAGTTCTTTTTCGGCTAAAATGGGAGTGATGACCGGTCAAAGATAACAAAACGACAGTCTTCCTCCACCTTAATTAAAGGCACTGGCCTTAGCCATTGCTAAAGGGTAACTAAAAGCGAGTAATCTAGTCACGTTGGTGTCTCCCTGTCACTAAAACACGTCATAATAGCAAATCTTTAATGAATTTGAGTAATTGAAACGGTGGGAGAGGTTGTGACTGCTGACAACACCACCAGTACCGCATGAATAATCGCCAAATTAATGAACAAACGTAAAAGCACTGACGGCAATTATATTATGGGCGCGCCAGTGCAAATATACCAATTGCTATTTAAAATGAAACTTTGTTTTAAAATCTGTGTAAGCTATTGAAAAACAAATATAATTTTGACTGAAAAAGGCTCTTCTGTTGAAGGGCTTATCCATATTCAACAAACATTAATACATCACATTTTTAGCTAAATATCAGGATAAACCCTTAAATTTCATAAAAATATTATGAATTAGCAATACCTGAAGTTTAAAAAAGAATCTAACTTTGTACACAAGCATATCAAAAGCAGATACATATGCCGATCAAACTCAGAATGGTATCATGGAGAAGTAAATTGCAAGGCTTTACCCAAAAGAGGTGTACACTCCACTTTACTCTCGCCATTTAGCTGCTTCGTATTTTTCTAACATTTTAAAAACACCCGCATGTGCTTCTAGGTAAGCATAGGGTTATTTAGCAAAAACTGTCAGAATTCACAAAGTTACACTAAATTTGACACTTTATAGATCTGAACCTTTAAGTTATTTTCCTACTATTGTGAATTTATGCCACTACTCTATAAGCCGATACCCCTTCTGACATGCGGATGTTTTGTGTCGACAACTCGTAATGTTTTTAAATGTTGGTTCCGTCTTGGAGATAATCACCGTGTTTTGCAGCCAAGGGTGAGGCTAGTCAACAAAAAACCGGTAATATGAAGATTTATGCCTTGACCACTCCTAATTTATTTGATCGCGAGTACAGTATGCCACAAAACATAGTTGAATCTACCACCACCACTTCTGTGCACGCACTAAAACATCACCCAATTTGCGTGACAAGCGGTATTTTAGGATTTAAAAGTTCTACTTATTTATTAAAGTAGTAAAATTTCTGCAGCTTGTGAAAGGGAGGTGTTTATTAGAAGAAAGGTTGTGGAGAAATTACCTGCATTGCTACTTGTCGAGTGTTTTTGAAGAGCATTTCAAAGAATCCCAATTTGTCAAGCAACATATAAAGCTTGAGTTAAATATAAGTTTAAAAATACACAATGATATCTAACTATAATGGTTGAATTCCTGTTTGTTAATTCGTGCTCACCCATTTTGAAGGCTGGTAGCATTGACAATTTTAGAAATGTACTTTTCGTTGGAATTATATAGCTAGTTAGCCACCTGTTAAGCTCAGGTGCATTTAATCTCATTTAATCATATTTACTCTCCACAAAAGGCAATAAGCCTGCCCAAACAATGGTGGATAAAGTGAGCTATAAAAGACATCCAAAATTATCTTCCTAGAGGGATCACGAAAATTTGGTTTTACGCCTGTAATTTCATCTTAAATATTTGTGGCGTTTCTCAACAATTTTGAATAAATAATCTATCGAGAAGGCGAAAAATAATTTAGTTCCAATATTGTAGCCGCCTGTATGTAGCTTCTTTATCACGAAACCAACAGGCTCCTACAGTGTTAGATATAGCTCGCAATAGCTAAATATTTATAGCCTGAGAATATTTACATTAGATACGTTGTCAGGTGTAGGAAGAGATGCGTCAGTCTGTCAGCACAGAGCTTTTGACTGTACATCTTACTGTATTCTTGTTAGCACGACTTTAGGCAAAATGTGGCTCGAGTTTGTCTACTCTGCAAATGTATTTTACCAAAAAAAGCACATTTCGACAAAGCTGTGGTGGAGCATTTGAAGAAAACGATGCATGCAGTAGCTGAACACTCTGCCTTCCAGAATCGGATGGTTTAGCTTGATGCTGTAGAGAAATCACCTATCACGTATGGACTTACCTATCACTCTTTACCGAAATACTTGCACAGCGTTTTTCATCCACATCTACGCTTACACCTACACCAGATGGAAGAGGAAGCTTCCGCACAACTCGATCCTACGCACATGCATTAACGGATGCCAGATGAAAGACTTTACAGACTATCAACTCGGTCTTCACTTCCTTTGCCTACGATGCAGAAACGTGCAGTGACTGACTGACTGCCACGCAATGGGAAAGGGGATTTGTCCTAAACTTTTCATTTACAGAATGTCTTTGTCTTCAAAAGTAATCTCTTTGCTCATTACCCACAATACAATTTTTGGGCACCCACAAGTTCATGCATGCTTCATGGCCAGACTGGAGAAACAATTGTCCACTGGGGGTTGTTTAATGGCTGAGGATCAAACAGCTATGTTTTGCTATGATAAGACACGAGCAAAATAATACGATATTATACCGTACAACCCATAAGTGTGAGATAAGCGGAAAATAAGGTTACACAGCTCAAGACTTCATATCTCAGAGCACCTCAAGACTTACTTTAGTGGGGGTGGGAGAATGGAGGACACTGCCTCGTCTTCGTCCTCCATATTCCCCTAAATATATCCCTCCACGTGATGGTTAACATCTCCCATACACATTAGGCAATCGCATGAACATGATAAATGGACAGGTGAGAAATGAGCTTGAGATAGAGTCAGGCTTTCTCTTGACTTCTATAGACATAACACTGTATAGAAGTAAGATTGGCAAACTTGTGTCCTGGTGGAAAAGAATGCCAGATATTAGAGATTATTAGATTAGATTATTATTATTACTCCAGTTTTATTAAAGAACCTTATCTCGGGAGACTGAAAGCTCTGAATGATAAAGCCTACACCTTAAACAAATGCCATCCCACAGTTTCTGCTAAAAAAATAACGAGCCCACTTTGTACTTAATTCATCCTTGGGGAAATATTAACTTTAGCGGCCAGTTTTTTAACTCAAAAAGTTTGCCATAGTATGAAATTACGACAACTTTGCGAATCCCTGCTGATAGCGGCTAAGGTGGCAGGGTTGGTGGAACCCTTCAGTTTTTATATCATCTTCAAAGCCTCACTCTGAATTCAAAGAATGCTTTTTTGATGGACTTTGCTTTATGAAAATTTGGCCTAAACAATCAATGCGAAAGCGCGTTTAAGTCCGAAATCCAGTTTACCAGGCAGAGATAGTGGCCGACCCAATTAAAACACATTCACATTAAAACAATACTTTAGACTTTATACAAGCAACTCCCTACTTTTAAAATACATACACAATTCCTATTCTGTTTCTTGGAAATGTTGATGCCTCGGAAATGCAAATTCACACTTTAAGTCAAGTTAACCAAATATTTGTTATTTTGGCCTAGAATTGGTATTGATATAATTAAATCCGAATCTCCTTCATTTATGACTTAGAGATGTTTATATGTTTCCCCTTCACTTCCTTGTCATGGACTTTGATTTCCCCTCTAATTGTGTCATGCTTTGTGTCTCTTTTCAAATTTCAGCCCCTGAAGTAGACTTGAGAATGCGGCACAATACATTTTGTAAAACCCTGAGTGGTAGATAACACAATCAAAAATCATAATGAAAACTAAAGGAAAGCATTGTATTTGGTAAAAGTAAAAGCTGCCAAAATTCACCACACGTTAAAGATACTACTTCACTGATATGTCGTACCTTCGCAGCACTCAATTAAACTCAAAAAGTTTCATGTTATTTTAAAGTATTGGCCTATAGGACACTTTCGGAAGAGAAGCATTTGTAAGTCTGCTGGTTTGATTAAACTGTTTTGGATCCTATTATTGATGAGATAGTGAGCATAAATAAGACTTACAATTGCTAGGATTCAATTTTATGCATTGACGTCTTTACAGTAAAATTCATGGTTGACTGAATTTTCACCCTAGCGTCAATTTGTGTTTATGTGTTCGTGTTGCATCGTCTGACCTAAATGGTTTCACCCAAAGTCGTTTAAGCACACAACTGCACAAGTTAATTAGTTAAATCTCCCAGTTTCTGTAGCCCGTCTTGCACTCATAAAGTGTTTCTTATTGCCCTGAAATATCAGGATAGAAACGAGTAGGGTCTCAGAAAAATCTATCACCACAACCTCGACGTTTTAATGCTCTACCGCTAAGTTTTGTAGGGTGCCCTTGTCACATTCTCGAACTCAAACCCAACTCGACGAATCTGAATATGATATGATTAGGTGTTGAGGTTTTTCATAAAACAGCTTAAGACATGTCACGCATTTCCAACACTGGGTCCAGATGTGAACATCAGGGAATGGACTGAATAACTCTAATGGCAAATCTGCTTGTCTCCATGGCCGTATCGTTGCACAAGATGTCTTTTGTGAACATCTGCCAGAATTGAATGCGACACCGTTACTTCCTCTTCCTGTCGAATAAATCGCCTTCACTCCAATCAAAATAACTACTTAAGATCTTGCTACATCTCTACTTATAGGTTAGCGTTTCCTAAAGCGCAAACTACTTCGTTTGGGTAACTTTGACACCATTTTAAAAGCACTGCATTGGTCGGAAGTGATGACCCGACCTAAAAGTTCAGTTTGTCAATTGCACAAGCCATCCATGCAACTAACATCACCATGCCTGTTGTGGATGGAGTGTCCATAAACATCCAGTTGAATAATCAAGCCCGTAAATAACATTATAACGGCAGGTTAAAAGACTAGAAGACCGAAGAGCAGGTGGCGTAGCCGCAGCACAGACCTAAGAAGTCACTCATTGCCGTGCACAATCAAGATAAACATCCACGTTCTAACCTCATGCAACGTGGAACAGGAAAGGGCTTAAAATAAATTATTCTGTTGGAACGGAAAAAAAGCTTTCAAATCCAGAAAATGGGCTAAGCTATTTTGCACAAAAATCCTCTTCATGGTGTGTTCATTGGCCAGTTCAAGAAATTGTCTTTTCCAATTGCTACTATCATTCATTCATTCGTTCATTCACCAAATTATCTAAAGCTCCATCTTCCTCTTTCGTCGATTGTCTGGTCATATTTCTTGCACGATTGGAATATTATACTACATTTCATGCTAATTTTCTCTCGAATACAGAGGTTTGGCGGCACTTTTTTATAGAATATTGCGATTGGACAGTTGGTTATCGTTAATTTTAGGCCAAAATCGAAACGATCTGCCCCGACTTACGGGCTACTTAGCTATTTTGTTTGAGGATGTTCAGTTAATGGAATAGGCCATAAAACCTTACATGAGGGTCACCTACACCAGCTCCGATGACCAACAAACATGTAGAATATAATTCACGCGGTTCCAAGCGGGCACACCTGCTTCCGTCCTAGCACCCACGTCCGTTGACATGTCCGCATGTGTCCGCCATGAGTCACGTTCACCTGCCTGCTACCTATTGGTTCACAGGTGACCAATAAACACACTGCCGTTCACTAATTGGTTATTAGGGGATTGAACAATCCTCTGTGGGAGGGGATGGTGAGATGCATGCATTGAGCGAGAGCAGTGGTATGCGGTTCTGTCGGGCTGGCGATGCCAATCTTGTCGTCAGTAGCACAAAAAGGCACAAAATTGTGGAAAGGCGAGGAATTGGAGAAGAGGAGAGTGCTCTCCCAACAGATTTCTCCAGGTAGGATAGCTTCTCATACATTCTGGTGCTTTTCTTAATTTGCATGATAAAAACAGTTTGTTTATGCAACATTTGTAGTCCTCAGTTGTCTGTTCACCTCAGTTTGTTTGAGTTGTTCTAGTATTCAGACTTCTGTATGCATTATCCTTCAGCAGGGTAATATGCACGCATAGATATCAATCCTCATTCCCTTGTAGTTCGTACATTAAAATGAATTTTGACTGTCATTGAAACTGAAGTCGCCTAACCTCCGCCGACTTAAAAATGACAACCCTCATAACTACTTCACCACCCATATTTAGTCGTCTTAATGACGTGATTCCTGACTTCCATCGTATTTTGATTTAGGCACTGCACAGAACTTTTACACTCCATAGTTATTGCGTTATCGCTTTCAGTGTCTTCAAAGGATTTGGGTTTTTGTTCTTAGTCATGGTTCGATTTGACTAGCCTTATCGACACTTTGCTCTCATTTTGTTGCTTGTAGTGCATTTCTTGGCCCCTTTAATTTAGTGAAAACTAGATATTCGGAAACAGCCATGATTATAACCCACTGTGTACAGCATTTTCAGGTGGTATAGGTTTTGCGTGTGAAATCGCTACCTGTGTAAATGTAAAACTCACAACCCACTGGAAATGTACGCATGCGCGCCTCGAATGTCGTCACCATGGTTATTGCAGTTGCATTTGTAAAAAATATCCCTTTTTTAATAGTTTACGGCGGTCTATCAGTGGACGAGAGTGAAAATGAGCCTGAATAGGCCTAATAAGAGAGTTGATTGTTCCACCCTAATTGACATTTTGCTGAAGTCTGCATATGCGCCTCATTCGCTCTCTCTCTCTCTCTCCCCTAGCCGGTGGGAATCTCAGCCTAGTTGTAAGCAATTACTTTTCTCCCAATGGCAAGAACTCGAAATGAGGACAGGAGGATTGTGCCCGGAAAAAAAAATGCAGCACAAATAGATGGTATGAATCTACTTTAGTGTCTGGTGATGAATTGAATATGCCTGACGCAGCCATTGTTAATTGCTAAATTTCCAAAGGCCTGCCTACGTGGATGCAAATGATCTCGCCTTGGCTCTCACGTAGGATCTGCAGCCACTAAAGAGTGTTTAGCTTCTTTTGTTTATTTCTTTTTTTCGTGCGAAAAGGGTAGGCACATGCAGGAGAATCATTTGCTCTCTCACCCAAGCTATCCCCAGGCAATATGTGCTTTTAAGACCATTTCCGTGTCCTCTATTCGCGAGAGCGGGTGCGGTAGAGGCCGTAAAATTCGGCTAATGCCTTGAAATTTGAAACCCCACTTCCATAATCGACTACATGCGCTTCGTTACCGGTACTTCCTAATGTTCCAAGTTGTCTTATGCAAAGAAATGGTACTGATTAATCTAGCCCTACCAGAGAAGTTTAGACCTACTGTTTACGCGCTTTGCTGAAAAAGGATTACTAGCAGATGCATTTTACAAAGGTATGGCGAAGCGCCGATGGGGAGCGCAGCATTTGAGAAAAAAAGTGAACTAACGTGTCCTCTTCAAGAGCTGCCGAATGAAATTCGCCAGCTCGAGGCATGAATATAAATGAGGCGCAGTACATAACCTCAAAAAACCATCGGCACTGCAGTTCTCACCATTTCTATCTCAACGTTTGTAAACGGGGGTAGGGCTTCTAGGTGTTATTTTTGTCGGATTTGAGGGTGAGTTTAACTCCAGTTCTGCTTTAACATTATTTTTTCCAAACTAAACACCAGTTTTGATGAAAGTTGTGGGTTTTTTAAATGCCTATTCGCCTTCGCGATGAGTGGATGTGTGTTATGGCACACCAAATGGTTTTTTTGTTGGTGTCAGACACTCATTTGCCTTTGAGTGTGTTTCCTCAACCAACTGTCCGTGTGTGTGTTTAATTAGAACGTGGAATTCTGTTTTGTTGTTCCCTTCACTTCATTTTCAGCATCTGACCCCAATCTTCCCCCATTTGGTATCCACGCCCATGTGCTTCGGTTCGTTTACCACTTCGTGTGTGTGTGCGCATTTTTTCCCGGCAACTTTGACTATCGGTGTTTTGAGATTTTTGACTTACCTGGAAAAGCTTTGACAAATGAGACGTCGCGTATCAACTTTTTCCACCAATTTTATGCGCCTTAATTGCATTAGAAATCTTTGCACTTAATCAAACCTGATTGTTTGCGGTGGATCCTGCGTTTCTTTCTTTTTCCTATAGAAATGGGGATGTCTGTAACGTTTTCCCGGGTAAACAGAGGCATGCTTAGAGAGCAGGTCGGTCGCGTCTCATGCCCACACGAGTAATTTATTCGCTCTGTCGCGGCCGCCGAAATAGCTCGGTGTGAGCAGTGGCAAAGCAACTCCACTTTTTTGCTTTGTTTAAACGCTCTTCCTTTCCCTAACGATGGTCGTGTTTTGTTGCTTTGTCGTCGACCTAATGGCCAACAAGTTAAAAAGCTATTCCTGCGCTTGAACAATAGGGAAATAGGTTGGTTCGGGTAGCAGAGCAGGAGGGTTACAATCTGCTCCGGATTGGTTCGGTTTTAGAATCATGGTGTAATTACTTCTTTTTTTGCTTGTAGATTGGTAATTATTTTTGTATTCATTAGTTTGGAAGTGCAGAAACTTGTCCCAAAATAACTTGAGTGGTGACGCCTCTTCAAGGAAGTGCGAGCAAGGAAAGTAGCAAAATCACCCGCTCTGTTTAACCACTCATTATTTACAGCATCTGCAGCCTGTCAAGTAGTCTTTGTTGATCCGTGGATGTTCCCAAATCACTGAACCTCTTCCTAGAAGTAGCAGCTGTTGTAATGTCAATAGATAACATTCAACGACTTTGGTGGAAACAGCTGTCAAGGCAACCAAACCGATTTGACTGAAAAATATGACGAATTTTACCCGTTTTCGATGGTTCTAGTCCCCTGCCAGCAAATCACCTAGTTGAAAAATCACACTTAAGGAATATTCAGTGGCGAAATAAGCCGACCATACGAATTACTCCTTTTCTTATTTGCACCAAGTAGACCAAGGTGTAGTTATGTAGGCTCCTTACTAGTTTGATACACCTCCGTGTAACGCTGCTCCTAATTTCTTGATTAACTTTCCGCTTCTTAAGCATTCACTTCAGGGAATAACTATTTTATGGGGGAAGGGGAATAAGACCCTAAAGTTTGTTTCAAGGGTAGCGTAATTTTATACCTGGCCTTGGTGAATACATTTGTGGAATAGTCTGCTTTTTACCCTCAATATAACCACCATTTTAACGGATTTTAGGGCTTTAATTAGCCTGGGTGGTTGAGTCATCCCCATGGTTATGGATAAGGTCATGGCTCACTCCCCCCCCCCCCCTCCATTTCACTGCTTAGACGGGTGAAAAGTTGACGTCTGACTGGCTGTAACGGTATCTTCTACCTCCATCTACGACTTTTCAACTCTATCCTCTTTAAGCTCACTAATGCACCCAGGTACACGAATCTGCATACACGTCAGCATCCTCCAATAGACGATCACTTCATGCGTCATTGGCTACTGAAATCTACTTTTTCACTCTCTTTGCGTGTGCATGTGTTTGTAGATGAAAAAACAGAGGTTAGCAACCGATCCGGCCTGGTAACTGCTACATCTCAGCCCTCCGTGTACCTCTCAGCCCACGCGGTCAAAGGAACGTGGCCCACCGTCGAAAATATAATCCGTGCTCAGTCAATCACTCATGCCACTGAGGAGACGATCACCCGAGATCCCGAATTCGTGAAGCGTCGCGCTACCACCCTTGATATTGACATGTCAACTCCCCAACGCCAGGGCAAGACTGGTAGTCGGGGGCGTCTATTTGTGAGTTGCACTTCATCCTGTGTCTGATCTCCTCTGGAGTTTCATATAACACTGGAATGATGTATCGGGAATTGGATCAAATCATCAATAACACTTTTTGTGGCCCCTTCTAAATCAGTGGGATAATTCGTACGCTGAATTTATCCTGAGATAGGATTTTGAGGGACGTTATTTAACCGAATTTACAATGTGTAAAATTTGTTTCGTAGAGCATAATTTTTATTTACTTTTTGGTCGATTCATAGTGGAAACTGAACTAACGGCAAATTTCCAAAGCAGCTTCCATCCTTGCTTAAAGGATGAAAGGGATGGGAAGACCTGATCCCTCCTCTCATGTTTCACCTAACATTAGAACAGGGCGTTGTAAGGTAGAAATAGGGAAGAAGTAACATTAACGCCCTTATTGACCACGTTGGAAAAGGGACTGCGTCTTTCACCCTTTCCATGATGTTCCCACCTAGAATGGGGAAAGTTGTTGTAGAAAGTGGAATTTTCGCTAGACCGGTGTATAGCCATGATTCACAATGCCCCATTAAATGAGTAATGAAGAAGGCAGATCCATGTGTTTCAGTGAGTCAACTGCGGTTTTGCTCCTGTTAATGAAAGTTACTCCTTTCCGAGTTAATTTGCTCCCAATACGTCCATTTTTTGGGGCTGGCTTTGGCAAATGTGAAAGAGCAGTGGACTTTCCACTCTGCTTTTCTGTTGTTTAAACAAGGAAGGCCTCCCTTTTTTGCAAACTGCGGTAAAACACCTAGGACGATTTCCGGGGAAAGATAAGCGAAAAGCCCAGAAGCATGCTCTACTTTCTGCGTTTTCAGTTTGCTCTATTGATTCGTGGTGGTATACGAAGCTACACCCTTTAAAGCTGTTTTGGTTTACTCCCAGTTTTGCAGATTTGTTTGGCGCCTATGCGGCGGTGACAGCTACACATCATTGTCATAAATTGACAGTTTAGCGAACAGCATATCCACCATATGAAATCGTCATTAGGGCATGTATTTATTATCTAGTTGTCTGCTAGGATGGGCTTTGTTTATGCCTTTTTAGAGCCTGTTTTCAAAACAAGGCAACGGGATACGCGATAAAGCTACTCTCAGGGTTAAACGGGACTGGTGAGTTCATATATACGCTTTTGAATCTGACTTTATTATTATTATTATTATTATTATTATTATTGGTATTCTTCCTTGTATCATGCGCAGGAACAGTGAAATGCAGTCACCAAATCCAGTGTTTACTGAGTCCGTGTATCGTGGGGTGTTTTGATGACCGACTTTTGGTTGTAATTTCTACCTAATTTAAAGTTCGGCCCCAATTGGGCTCTGAAAGTCTATTTGAAATGGTCTTACACAATTTCGTCGTCTGCGCCGAACCCGTCGCCGAAAATCCCGCCAAGTAGCTTTAAGCGTATTGGAGTGAGGTCGCTTCCTCGAATACACAAGGGAGGGGTATTCAGCTAACTTAAGGTCATTCTTAACATTATTGTGTAGTTGTTGAAGTCCTTCTTCGATGAGATTTGTTAATATCATTGGCGCCAACGCTGTTATCTTCCATTTATCACACTGAAAATAGGGTAGACAAGTGAGGAATATCCGGATCTATTGAGAACTTTTGATTTTCGGAGTCAGTACCCCCCGGCGGCTATAGCGTATTTTGACTTGGAATTGTCTCGAAAACAGCTTAACAGTCCTAATTATTAGGAGACCAAAAAGGTGGTACAATCTCTGCAGACCTCGCAGCACTTGACATGTTGTAACTTGTGGATGTTTGTATGCATGCCTTGCAAAGGGTGGGTGGATATGCGTCAGTCTTTCGGATATGCTACCCTTAATTGTGCATCCTACTACCACCACCTCCCTGTCATTACGCATCCTCCTGAATGTCATTTAGACTTGATGTGGCTCGAACTTCTCCGAGTCACTGGTTTAAACTCGATAGGATGTGGTGCAATTAAACCTCTTGAAAAACGGCCAGAACTAGTGAATATGACACGGGGAAGTTCACTTGTTACTCCTACATGGACGCAATGCAGCATCTTGTATTTCATATTTTTTCATCCTCACCTTTCGTGTCCCCACTTATCGAGTGGATAGTGAAATAGACACGGAGGTGGCTAGGATCAAGGTTTCTCTTGACTCTCAGCGACAAAGTGGTGGATAGAAGTGGCACTCGCAGATTATATCCTCTTGGGAAGGGCGTGAATTTTAGGTTGTGATGGTGATTATTTCAACGACTAAAGTGGGTTGCGAAACCTTTTTATGGTTATTCAAATTTATTGCCGCACGATTTAGGCTTACTTAATTATTTACAAAAGCCGCACTAACTAATCCAGTTGCCTTGTGGTACTCTCTGTTTCGTGTTCTTTCGTGGAGGTACTGCGGAGGTGTTTGGCTTTCTTGTGGCTGGTCTAAATCTTGGTAATGATCGATGTTGAAGGTTCAAGCTGCGATTATAAATGTGAAGGCAGTTATGAAGGCAGTGGCAATTGCATATCAAAGCCACTATTGAAGCGTTTAATCGACTTGACCATTCCAGAAGCCAAAAGAGTTGTTCTGAAATTCGGTTATTTCTGTGACTCAAAGGTCTGCTAAACTTCTCATTTTCACATCGATATTGAGTGTAACGACTAGGTTTTATTAAAGAAATTGGAGTAGAAATGGTGGTATCTACCTTCATTCAGTTGGCGCTAGTGTTAGTAACCAAACAAGTTCAAAGCGATCTGTGCTTCAAGGCTGTATCGAAGCCGGATGGAGCCGGTGCTGCTTCCCACGCCGCCATGAAGGGTCTAGCTTTGAATGGCCTTGACGCACACACTGCTGCCATTTACGTTGAATCACTCACGTAGAGAGAAAGCTCCCGGCCACAGAAGTTGTTGAAGTCGGGGGTGAATTATTTTATTACCCTCACCTCAGTTCTCCTCCTCGTAGCCATAAAATCGGGTAAAGTTCCATCTCCCCTCCCCTCAACTATTTGGCTAAATTTGTTGCTGTTTCTACTTTAGCCCACCTACTGCCAATCTCTCCAACGATACAGCTGCTATCAATGTGGTTCAAAGCCTTGTGGATTCTCTGGGGCGGCAAAAGTCGGAGCTGAAATTCTCTGTCACCTCGCTCCATGATAGCATTGTTCAACAGAACGAGAAGAATTGTTTTGAGGTAACAAAAATGTACACTCTTTTAACTGTTGGACTGCATTGTCTCTTTGCAAATTGAATCACACTTATGGTAATTAGCCTCCGCCTTTTAGCGCCTCCTTAAATTGTTAGTGATGCTGTAGTGCTGCGTCTCCGGACCCAGTGCTTCTATGGATCCAAAATTTATTAGCCATGAGTCACACTAGTTAATGGGTCTTCATTCATTCAAAGAGTACGTAATTATCCTTCCGAATGGTTAAAGATCATGCTGGTAAATAAAGGATGGTTAATGATGCTACATCCTCTTATCGCTCACTATTTAACACCTGTCATTCGAGGTTTCAACCTTCTTCCCTCCGGTGAAATCATCTACACGGTCTATCAATGGCCTCGAAGATCACAGACAGGAGCGAGTGACCTCGCTGACTCGTCGGTGGGCTCAGGAGCGCTACCGATCCATCAACTCCATGGACGATGACGACGACGACGATGATGATGCCTCGGCGGTATGTCTTCGACGCCCGGCGCCCGAGAGAAGGCGGTTGAGCAAGCAGGCAAGTGAGGACAGTCAGGCGCCTCACTCTGTACATCGCATCTATACTTGTCGTTCAGTTGAGGAGAAAAATTACTGGTTGAATAAGTAAGTTTTCTCTTGCGGATCGAAGATACGGTTTTGCCAAGACGGTGCCACAGATGGGGGTTTTGTTAGGCAAAATAAACATAATGAATATTATTTAGATTTGTCTTTTGTTTCCATTCTCTGAATCACCCATTGTGCTCAATCGGACAGTATTGTGTTCTATTCCCCTTTTCGAATTTCTTTTTTCTTTTTAAGTCGATCTGCAGCGCTTGATTGACCCAAGTCTATGAGTCTTGAATCACTTTCTACTTCTATGTCCATTTTCAATCTTAACTAGAAATAATTTATTTTTAAATGGGAATTGAGCAATCGCTTGTCATCATTAGTCAGGGCATGTTATGTAGACTCATTTCCGTGTTTTCAGTCTCGAGTGGTTGGTATGACTCTTGAGCTTGTAAAGGTGTTCGCATCGATACGATGTTAAGTTTTACGCACTTTGAAGCGGAATGCTCTCCACGCATAATTATCGTGCTTGTAAGATGAGTTGAAGTGGAACATATAATTTGGCTCCAAAAAGGACCTAAGGATACATAATTAATTTTGTTTTGGTGATCCAGAAGGGCTGAAAGGCCACATTAACGTCGGCATGATCAAGGTCATTGGGAGCGATGTGGAGGTAATAGAGGTAATTAAAACCCCCATCCAATGCATGACCAACCGCATCGTCTAAAACCAGGCTTCATTTCCTCTCTTTGCTATAACTACTGGTCTATCTGAAATTTTACTCCACCGCAGTTATTTTCGGATCTGGCTTTCTTAGTAGGGTAACGTCACAAATAAAAAAGCCGGCATTCTGGTTATCATAAGACGCTATATTCGAATTTGCCCCACTAAGGCTGTAAGAAAGTACTTGAATCCCGAATAGACCTTTTGGCTGTTTTTTGCCGTATCAAGAGTTACCAAAATGTTTTCGTTTAACCCTCACCGTCGGTTATCCAAGCCGTGTATGTGTGCTTGTGTGAGTGTTTTTATGAACTTTATCCTAAGTACTGTAAAGTACCACCGCCCATTAAAGTGACTAGAAATGCAGAGGGAGTTAGAGCCAGCACTGCAACTGATTGGTTTGGCCAACGACAGTAAGGGCAACTGGCTGCTACACAGCCCGACTGTACGCTGTTAGTGTATTCTCTTGGCCTCGTTAAACGTCCAGTGCTCCGTTGCGCACGCTGGCCAGTTGATTACGCCACAGTGGGGCGTTTCCCTCCCTTCCTCATTCGCCTTTTTGTCTTGTGGGCGGTGTAGACACTGATGGTAGCCGGAGCCGGGTGTGGCTCTTATCCTTCTCCCCACCCTCTCTATTGCACATGACTCATTTTCTGTGGGTTGATTACTTGTACACTCCATTTCATGCTATGACATAATTTGAAATGTGGGCATGTCCATTTTGCTTCCCCTCTATTTGTTCGTAAAGTAAATCCGCCTCTAGGTTTAAACGCCAACAAAATGGATCTTCTCTAACCGTTGCGGTGGCTTGATATGCACTGTTTTGACCTGCACCTACATCGAAACGTACGTACGATTCACAGCTTGGATAAATTTTTTACTCTAAAGACACTGAAAGGTCAAAACGGGTGCTTGAAGTAGGAATGATGGTGTTCTTTCACGAGGTACCAGGACTAGCTATGCCCGATATGGGAGCCGGATATACTGAATAACGAGCTTATCATTCATGGATATTTAACAGTATAAACTCCTGAAGTTGTTCATGAATTATTAACTTTTCAATATGCTTCTTGTTGGGTTATTCCCCTGTAATTAGTTGCAGATCTTCGTTTTCACAAGTGTATGCACTGTTCCATATCCCAGTGGGTTAATTTTCCATCGTTACTTGCAACACCTTTCTCAAATTACTTTGGCCTAAGTGTGTCCAGGACTAGGGGAGGGGGGATGTGCTTGTTCCCGTTGTCAAAATGGATGGGGCAAGTTCATTAGCGAGTCACGTATGCTGACAAGAGCAGGCTTGCCTCCAGCGTCACTGCGAAGCCCTCCACATCGCTTCCCTGTACGTAGCATGTCCAGTTCTTTCTGTTACGGGTCATTCCATTTTTGTCCCTCACAGTCTCTGTACACCTATCACAGGCCCTCAGACCTCCTATTTGAGTTAATATGCCCTTGATGAGTCATATCCGAGCCTGACTAACACCTTTATGATCAATTGGTGGACATTTGGTACCCCCATAATGGTTCCTGCTGGCAAAAGTACTCAAATAACCACAGCAGACGTGTAGGGAAACAGGCAGGCAAACAGGTGCGTTTATTTACGCTTGGTTTTCTATTCTCTCTTTGCAAGTCTACTTGCTCACAAACGCGTATGTTAATGTAGTAGATGGCGTTGGCGGTGGTTTTGCATAATAATACCCTCTGCGTTCTCTCACATGCACAAATGCATTGGTGTGCACGCTACTGACACGGCTTTCGATCTAAACGAGAGATAGTTTTGTCTGCATTGAATGTCTCCAAAAGTCGATCACAATTTTTTGCACAGTACTTGCCATATTTTGCGAGTTGCAGTCAAATTTTTTGCCAAAAGTGCTAGAGATATTAGCAACAATAAAGTCACTCATGTGTTGATCCAGCATCAATGTGTTAGGTAGAGCAAAGAACATTTCCCACTAATTTGTTTAAATTAGACTCACATTATGGAAGTCTGTCAATATGTCCCACCAATTTTGTACTGGAACTGATGGTCAACAACAAAAGTCAAATATTAATTCATTCACACATCGTGTTTGCTGTTCTGTCACCAAAGCTCTCCTGTGATTGACGTACTATTCCTACTTAAGACCGGTGCGAGTAGTATGCACCTTCTCACTGTCCTAAATCCCTAACTTTTAGGTTTCAGTGTGTCGCAAATCCCAATCTGTGCTTTGAAAAGCGAATGGAAAGTAATCTCCACCTCTGTCTCCAAGAGATCAAAGGTGTCCCAGCTGGAAATGAGTAAGTTTTCTCATTTAAATTCAAGCATGCAAACAAATGGGACTTATGTCTTTTTTATCATCCATTTGTTCCAGGTACTTCTGTGAGATTTATCTAGACGGTGCGCTCTATGCGCAGACCCCCACCAAAACAATGGTAGATTCACTGACGTGGTCGGAGGACTTTGAATTCAGGTTCGCATTTTGTCCACCCATTACTTGAATGTATGTACGCACATCTATTCTACTAAATATTTAGTAAGTAGAATGTCTCTTTTAGTCACCTACCTCCCTTCTCTGATATTCGCGTTCTCCTTTGGATGTTTATGCCATGCCTTGCCGTGGAGAAGATGAAGAATCGAAGAGTCTCACTTCCCCGTACCGGTGTTGTAAATGATGCGGAGCGGTCGTCGACCTACCGAATATCGATACCCAATCATTCTTATTCCCTCGCCTCTATGGAAAGTGAGGTCTCCTTGTCTGCAGAAACCTCTGGAGGAGTAGATGATTTACGCAGTAGAAAGAGGAGACGTTCCATAGGTTCATCGAACAAGAAGATTCCAGCGGATCTCTTACTAATTGGTAAATTGATTTGATGGTGTTTTCGTGTGGGCTCGACTCATTGAGGTGGGATTAGTTGGTGTAGATACTTCCATTACTTGAAACTTGGGCTTGCGAAATGTGGTCGGATATCTAGCTTTCCAATTTTCTGACTTGTTTTAAAAGGTTTACGCCGTTGGCTCGGTCGGGAGCGCGTTTCAAGTTATGTAGCTTAGTAAATTATACACTGGTGTTTTGTGTGTTGATTACCAGCTACTTTATGACGTTCGTTCGTTTGCCTATGTTCCGCAACGTCTCCGGTGCGTAAAATCGTTCCACGGAAGAAGCCATAGTGGAAAGCCAACAATTACGAAATTTGAAAAATATTAATGAACAAAAACTTTTATTTGATGATGCTAATGAACGTTCACAAGTGCCAAAATAAAACCCATTTGTATTCAGTTTGGCTCTAGGTTGATCGGACCAGTTTTCCATGCTTTTATAAAACATTTAATTAATTGCAGAAAGTAGTTGAAATAGTCACCACCACGATCCATGGTCTACTCCCTTCCCAAAGGGAATACAATCTGCAATTTCCACATTCAACGCGTTGTCTCTGGAAGTCAAGATAGAACCTGATCCCAGCCACCTCCATCTAAATTCCACTCCTATTTTCAAACTATCCATGCGACAGGTGATTGTGTAATAGCAGTAGATGGTGATTGCCATTATAGTGGGGAATATAATCGGGGGAACACGGTGGGTTGGGATGAGGGCTTATCTTCCTGCTTTTATAATGCTACTCTTTTTTGAATAACCTTTTAGATTTACCTGGCAATTAGCTTAAGTGGCTATTTCTTCTCCATTGTACTTCAGACGAATAAGTATATTTAATGCGTGTAAATGTATCACGTTGTTATGTACTGATTATTCTTCCATAAAGGCGACAGTTGTTGACAGCTGCGACAGACATAAAATCTTAGCCTTTCTGGCCGGAAGTAGGGTAGGTCAAAACGCATGGATTCTGCATCTGCGGAGCATAAAATTCCTACTACCTACAGCAATGATGATTCTGCTATTAAGGCAGTATTGTTACCTCTGCGTGACTGTTGAAAAGGTGACGCTGTTGCTACCTTCCACGTGTACAATCGAACGAAACTGCCTGTTATAGCTTGAGATCGTAATCACACATGTAACGGCTCACAACTAATGAAAAACACCAAAAATATATCTTCAGGTTAGAGGATAAGCACTGCTGACTTACATAAACAATGTGATTATTCACAACCAGATCGTCACTTAGCATCGGTGTAAATGGTGCTGATCCGTACAAATGAGGCATTCTTGATGCCCAGTTTTGCGGAAAATCCCGGGATTCCAAGATTTACGAGCTCTTCCTCTCCTCTTAAGCCAAATTCATCATTCCCTCAACCGACATAACTGGCTTGGTGGACTCAGAAGCCTGGTACACCAGTTCCCTCGATGCCTCACTCAAGCGTTGCTCCTACGCCGAATCCACCCTCCATGCAGTTTCTATGGCTGCTACTACTACCCCCTCCTCCACTTCCTTCAACGGCGCCTCCCATCGCCCCGCCAACATCAAACGAAATAGCCAGTCGGGTCTTCGACTGTCGCGCAAGGCTCTTGCCCAAGTCACTCGCATTCCACCGCGCCTGCGTCTCACCGCACGGTTGGAAAAACTTACAGTGCTACCGGTGTGTGGGTATAGTAGTCTGTTACGAGCACTGTCTAGTCCCACAGCTTGCACATTACTTCTGAGGCGACTGGAGCCTTGGTTATCGGTGAAGTCGAAGGCGGCATTGGCGAAGTCGCTGCTGGCGATGCTGCAGTTGAGGAGCGAGGTGCCCGCCTTTTTGGCTGCTTTGGTGCTCTCAGAAGTGCAAGAACAAGGTGAAACAATGCTTCAAGCCAGAATTTTATTGCCTTTCTAGAATTTTGTTCGTATTTGTTGATCCGGGACGACTAGTCATTTAATTTGGCCTTTTTTTCTCATGGTTCCATAACCTTGACGTGAAAATGTTTGTGCAGAAACCGATGCCACAGAAATTTAACAAATAATCAGTTCAATGAGTTGCATGTATTCCACTTTACAAAATTGAGATACTTGTACTTACTTTGACCAATTTTAAAAGTCGAGGAATTAAAATTATTGAATTGGCTTAGTCAATTGCTTTTTATTTCTTCAGTTGGAGGAACTTCTTAAAAGCCTTCGCTCAACGGTTAGGGACCACTGGTATAGAAACTTGAAGTCAGTTATTTAGACTTGTGATAATTAGCTGCCCGATTTTTTCTGCTTTCCCTATTAGTCTAGAGTTTTTGACAAAGGAAGAGATATGAAATTCGGATAGAAAATCTAGGAAGTTGGCTGACACTTCACTACCTCAGCTTTGAATGCCCTGACTGGACTGCTTTGACTTAGTTTAATCTGACAGAATTCATGTCAAGGAATAGTGATAAGAACGTAAAGATTAACCGAAAATTTCGGCCCTTCCTTACTCCCAGGATTTCTACTAAATTGAATTCACAAAGTATCCGTTGTCTGAAGCATTAAATATGGAGAGCTATAGGTAAAGGATGTTTCACGATTGTTTTACTTTGATCTCCTTTTTGATTAAGACAATCCAAACATGGTTCTCCGAAGCAACAGCCTCGCAACCAAAGCCATCGAGCTCTACCTCAAACAGGTGGGCGGCGCCTACCTGAAAGCTACGCTGAGCGAATTTGTGACCTCCGTCCTCCTCCAAACCTCAGTTGAGATGCCCGTCAGTGCGAAGGAGAAGCGCAACTCCCTCAGTCGACTGCAGACATCCACACGGCGACCTTCCCCAGATGACATGTCCGCCGCAAACTACCGAACGGGCGTAGATTTTGAGGTGGATCCGGACAAAGTCACTAATTCGCGTCAGCTACTTCGCAATCAGGCAAATCTGCTGCGGCTTGTCAGGGATGTCTGGGGACGAATTCAGGCCACCATCTCCGCGTTTCCCAAGTAGACCCCTCTTTCCATTTCACTTTACATGCTCCTAATTTGCATTATCTAATTTAACCCTTATTTTTATAGCGAACTACGAATTACATTCTCGGCCATACGAGAGGCGATGATGCCGACTAGTGGTAGCTGTGGTGGATTAAAATCTTCACAGACTGAAAATGGAGTGCTGTTTGAGCACGTCATCTCGGCATGTGTCTTTCTGCGGTTCGTCTGCCCGGCAATTTTATCGCCGTCACTTTTTGGATTGGCTGAGAGTTTTACAGAAGATACGCGAGCGGTTAGGGCTTTCACCCTGGTGAGTAAGTAATCCACCCGAATCTAACTCTATGATTATAAATTTGGGTTAGTTAGTGACTTTGGTGACCTAGAAATCGACTGTTGCAGAGCTGGAAGCACAATTTAGATTTAAAACAAATCAAATGCTCCTCCTCAACCTTCCTGGCTTGAAACGATAACGTTGACTCTGGCAGCGAAAGCTTAGACATTAGATGTATCTTTTTTTGCCTTTAGGTGGCTAAGACAATCCTAAACTTGGCAAACTTTACCCTCTTCGGTGACGTGAAAGAGTTACACATGGACTTTCTCAATCGCTTTGTCGCGGAGGAGATGCCAACGATGCGAACATTGTTGTGGCGTTTGTCGGAGCCCAGTTTGCAACACAACGACAGCGTCGAGAGCACCAGTATCGTCTCCGCACTCCATGTTGCCCAACTGGTCGATGTGCTCACGGTGCTGAAACATCCCGCAGCTGAGGTGGTCAGCGGCGCGGCTAGTGTTAGTCTGGGTCCTACGTCCGCGTCTACCTTTTGCAGCCAATGTGTAAGTGCTTGTCTGAACATTCTTCGACCATTCCGACCTTTATCGTTATTTTGCGCTGCGTGACCTTCCAGATGTATAGGAGAGGGTCACCCGCCTAACACGCGGTATTTTCGCTTCCCGCTTCAGTCCTCCATAATGCTGGAAAGCAATTGTCATCGTCCAATTTCACGCACCGATTTCACAAAGGCATCTGCTGCTGTTTCTGCCGCCCATATGACATCTGCTGCTCCCAGCGATTCGCACGATGAACTCCTGCGTCGTCAGTGGCTGACGGAATTGCAAGACATCCAATCCGATGTCTATGTTTGCCATCAGGCAATTTTTGGCATTCCAAGACAGCTTACGTCCACGGGACATTCTCTGGAGTTGGAGCAGCTCAATTTGGCCTCCTCTTTGGCCCACTGTCATGCTCAGCTACAGGCGGCTTTTGGGATAATTCCTCTTGATGTAGGTTTTTTTCAGTGAAATTTAAGTTACTTTTTGAAAATAACATAGTTATTCGCAAAAGGACGATATGAGCTGACACTTGGGAATGCGGAAGCAAAACAAATTTGAATCAGTTGTAAGTGCAGAGGTCTCGTGGTCGTTCCTCTGTGTCATTCAATTATTACCCATTTGCATCTGTTCTTGTGCCAGCAGGAGTGTTGAGACAGTTCATGAAATTACTATGGTTTTGTTTGATACTGTCTTCTCTTTTCAGTATTAGCAAAATATCTTACGAGTTGCATTAGGGTTATTCAGAACACATTCGGAGCTTCAAGATGCTTAGGGTGCGAATTCCATTTTGGGCCTTCATATCTCGATTCCGATTCGCTTTACTCCTTTGCTGATGAGATGCTTCTCAGCCTCCCATCTGGGCTAATTTCTTAGCCTTTTAATTAACATCGGGGTCAGTCTTTAGGATTGACCTCTGGATAGGATTCTTGTGCGCGACTTTGTTTGCATCTAGCATAGCAAATTAGGCCATCTTCTCAGCCACTTTGTGTTTATTACTCTGACGGTCCAATTTGGTACTGTTTCCCTCTGAACTGTCGGTAAAATTTTAGCCGCTGCCTCAAATACATACGCTTCAAGACATTTCAAGGGCGTAAACGTCTTAAAAAAGTAAAATGCAATTGGGAGAGATGGATGATATGATAAGAGCTATAGATGTGCAGATCGTTTCTGAATGACCCCCACCTCAATAAGCACCATGGTGCGTCAGATATCCAGATTGTAGGACGAAGATGGGGGCAACATCTAGACAATCCTTTTCTGTACATCTTTAGCATCAGTGGATGCGTGCATTACTTACAAGGAAACGCATGATGGACTCTCCTAATCTATTCTAGAAGTTGGACCAACCGCTCAAAGGCCTTCGTGCAATCCTGGCTTCGGTGACCCATTTAACTATCATTGATACAAAAGAATGGCACGCCAGAGACGCCGAACGACCAAGTAGTCAACAGAGCATCGGCCTGGAGCTGGCTTCCAGTGTCTCAGCCCTTTCCCTGGCCAAATCTACCCCACCGGACGATGAGCAATCCACCAGTAATCGGTGTGAGAAAGCAGAGGAAAACGGAGTAGGTGCTCTGAAGCCGGAGACTCCAGTATTCACGGCTAAAGCAAAATCAGCTCAGTTGGTGGAACAGAAAACGGCCCTTCATCGACATCATCGACCCGGTCATTTTCACATCAAGCAGCACGAAGATTCAAGCCAGACTCTATCGAGCACTTTAAATGTGAGTAGTTTGATTTAGTTCTGAAGATGAAGACCAATTTTAATGATTAAACGGAAAAACCATGAGACAATTCGCAATGATCTTCATTGATCCTTCTCACCTTTAGGTGATGATGCTCTAGTCTTGTTGGACAAACTGTAAGATTTTGGTGGTATCTTATGGCCGCGGAAGTATTTCTGATACAGAACGATTGCTCGTCTTGACGTATTTGGCGCTGTATAAGACTGAACCAGAATCTTTGTAGTTGATAGGTAGAGTAACTGAAATGGCATGTCTTTTTCATAGTCTGTGTTAGATTCCCAAATGAATGAAGCTTTTTGCGTTCAGATGTAAAGAATCTGACGGCAGTTAGGAGGGATTCAGCCTAGTTGTTCAAGATCCTCTCAACGACGCCCCAAACACAGGAAAACTGGGTCCTAAATCCATGAAACTGGAGGTATCTACTATTATCTGCCAAATGTCTGGGATTGAGCATACGCCCTTTCGAGTGCCTACTGCCTGCTAACTGTCCTCTTTTCATATTATGGGATTTGTGCCTAACTCTGAAACGTTGAGCAATATTCCTCATTGCTTTGCAGTGATTTTCGTCGATCTCATTGGAAGAATCTAATCGTAATGCAACAAAAACATTTATGATATAAACTCGGACCCTGTTCCAGAACTGGTGACATTGAAGACAAATGCGATCCATGGATCACTGTGATTGGCAACTAAGGTAAAGGGAATACCTATTTGTCGGGAGGGCAAGGAATTGAGGCCAAGGGGATGCTTTTGGGAGAATGGGAAGATCGCGCTACTTTTATGAAACGATTCCCAACACCTATGTTTTCCACTTTGCCTAGACTTCCAGCGAGCCAGGTCCTCTGTACACCAGTGAGACAGTAGTGCAGCCGCCGAACAAATGCATTGTTCAGACGACCACGAATTCTCGTCTAACTGCGACCACCAATGAGTCTTCGTGGAGCCTTCTCCATGCCGCCATGCCGATACCCTCTCCCTCTGCCCATCCCAGCACCACCTCCACCTTCTACTTTGATAACTCTTGTACGTCTATGACTTCCCCCTCGCCACCAAGCAGCAGTGGTAGTGGTGGTAATGGACGACCTTCAAACCATCCAATCATGGGTACGAGTCTTTACTCAGCCGGGAGCAGTGGGGCCATACAGCGCTCTTGCACTTTTCCCAACAGCCCACAGGAGGCATGTACTGGTACCCCCCGACCTCTACAACCCTCGTACAACCCAAGCTACACCTCGGGACGCACTCTGGTTTCTGTAGAGACGCAGACTTCACGAGAACAGGTGACAGAGTTGGATGAAGCTGTGGGCGAGGTGGTGGACGTCGTGAAACGAAATCAAAGGCCGGTGGCGCGGCGTCACTTGTACATCAACATATTGGACGAGTTTGAGGGAGGGAACATAAAGTTGTCCAGCTGATCTGCCTCCTCTCCTTTTGTGGATTTTGTATAAGTCAACAACGACCTATTATTCCATAAACTATTTCACTCCCCCTCTTTTATAGGACACAGTAGTGCATTGTTTCTTTCATTTTATCTGTGTTGAGAAAACATGTGTTTCAAGAGTTTGGAGACGCTCAAAGAGAAACACCTCTTATCGTAAAAACCCCAAATATACAGGTTATGTGCCCTAAAAGGTGCCTTTACCACACCTGATGGATGGGCGCTGAGAACGCATAATCTGGTTGGAATGGACTTGAGCATTGTCTCCGACGCGGCGACTTGATACTCTCTCTGTGTGTCCAACTGGGTAGCCTCCTTACCTTCAGTAGGTTGTATCATGTCACGGCGATGGCTTTGTTGTCGCGTGAATGCCCTCCTAGCCATTTTGTCTGGTCGTGATGCACATTTACCCCTACTGGTATGGCACATTACGGCTCCGAAGAGGATTGAGGAGCTACACGGCAATGGAATTAGCATTCTGCATTTAGGGTGGTAGTGCGGCATTCGGAACTAGAGTGTTCAGAAGCGAAAATAATGCGTCAGTACGGGGAATGGAGGAGTAGATACCCTGTTCCTAAGATTGTGAATTCCAATGTCAAGCGCAAAGTAGTTTTGCCATTGGTAAACATACAAATCAGTACATTAAATCTAGGTAGTGCTGAGGCTAAATGGTAAAATATTTGATAAGGTAAATACCGATGCATAAATGCAGGGTTTCCTGGACTTCAACTTGAGTTAATAAACATATACACTTTCTATTTTGACATATCGATAGTTCAAAAGCAGAAGATTTGCAATACTTAGCTATGATTTATCTAGACGGTGTCTATGGATCACACAAAAATGCAAAGCACTTAGTTTTGTTTATTTTGGAGCTCACAAAACATTCCTAAATTAAAGTAAGCAGTTTTAGTTGAAATTTGCTAAAATAATGTCTTAGACTGGATCAATATAATAACAGTATTTACACCAAATTTGTTTACAGTACTTAACACTTGTCGCGATTTTTCAGATGCCTAGTTAGTTGCTATTGTGTTGGCTTGCTTTTGGGATGGCCATTAAGAAGTGCGTCTCAATCGTTGGTTCCGGCAATTGGGGTTCGACAATAGCAAAGATTGTCGGGAGGAATGTTTTGCAGATGGAATCTTTCGAAGATCAGGTATTTGTTAAAAAGGTTTATTACTTTTCTACAAAGGTGCGGATGTGGGTTTTCGAAGAGATAATCAATGGTCAGAAGCTCACTGAGTTGATCAACAAGGAGCACGAAAATGTGAAATATCTTCCTGGCGTAAGGCTTCCACCGAATGTTGTTGCTTTGCCTGATCTTGAAAGCTGCTGCCAGGGCGCTGACGTTTTGATCTTTGTCCTACCTCATCAATTCCTCAAAAATGTATGCCAGGCACTGAAACCACATCTGAAACCTGGATGCTATGGCTGTTCGTTGATTAAAGTAAGTACATCTAGGAGAACTCTACTGACCACTCGAGCAAATAATTCACACCTGCTCATCTATTCGTCTTGGTACCTCGAATTGCTTTAATTTTTTTTTGATAAGCAGTTATTCGTCGATCGAATGACTGACTGAAAGTTGTAGACCACGGAACAGCATCGTATTTTAGTGGTATTGACACTTTTGTAAGATTTATGCCCTCTAATTTTGTTTCACGGCGTCCCAAATCCTCTTCAGGGCTTATTGTGAAATTTCACCTTTATTATCGATGCTACAAGTAGCTTATTGTTGTTTGACCACGTTGCGACAGTTTCCCCTCATCTTACTTATTATTCGAGTTCTCATCTGGCATTTTTATTTTGTTGCCAATTGCTACCCCTTTGCCTTTCTTTTGCACAGACAAAACCATTTGATTTCGTAAAACGTAAGTTAAAAGACTTCCGATAATTTTAACTCGTGCCATTCTTAGTATGGGTTTAGTTGGCTAACATTACCCGTTCATCGCTATCCGTAAACTTAGGGTAAAGTCAGGCTTTGTGACCACGTAAAAATCTGTGTTGCACTTTAATTTGAATAACCTCCTTACCGTGCCGTCATATGCATCTGCAGCTGGATGATTTTGGGCTTTCTAAAAATTTGATACCCAGGTTTTGTTGACCATATGCTTCAAAGGAGCCATTCTGCGCGAAATCAATATTGTTTAAAGGATTTTCCCTAAATGTATTTATTTGAGTTATTGAAGTAGGGTAATGTCAAGCTAAGGTTCACCTCATAAATCAAATTTTTGTTCAGAACTACTCTTGCAGATTGTCACCCTCCTACATTATCCATCCTTTTCTTGCTCAAAACAATGGTTAGCTGTTGCAAAACCTTGCTCATTTTTTAGCCTCGAGAGCCTTTTCTTTGCCACTACCTGTAATGAGATACTCTCACTCAAATTCGCATTTCTTTCCAAAAAATTAACTTAGTTATAAACGGCTAATGGGTATGCAAGCGGGTGTGTGTGCTTGCGATTATACGATTCCTTATTGTTTGCAAAACTCGACAAAGTATGCTTTTGGGTGCATTCTGTCCTACCATCTATGTGGTATGTATGTACTAGCGCGTTCCTTGTTGGCCGCTGCACGCCTGATTGGTTCCTCCTTAGGGTCATCAATTCAAATTGCCTTGTATGTGCGTCCACATGCGTACTTCAAAGTAGCGGCAAAGGCGTTTGATGCTATGCCCTTTTTCCTCCTCTTTAATAAAGTGTCAGAAATGAGTAGTCTAATCTGCTCTTCTTTATCCATTTTCCCCTCTTCAAGGGTTTAAACAGAGTGCCTGGTGTGGGAGTGAGCCTGTTGACAGACCTTATTCGAGAAACGCTTAATATCCCCTGTGCAGTTATGATGGGTGCGAATTTGGCTTCGGAAGTGGCCCAGGAGAAGTTCTGCGAATCTACAGTTGGATCTTTAGATCGGTCACGGGGACTGGAACTGAAAGAACTCTTCGAGGTTTGTTATCTTCTGAGGATAGAAGGTTAAGTTTTTCTGAAGGAACACGCCCTTATCAACTGTACGCCTATTTGGTGATTGATCTTCTAGAGTCGTTTTCGACCTATATGCGAGCCTGGCTAAATCATGGCCTTGATCTAACTGTGTTAGGGTGCCCAGGTCATCCATGGGCTTGGGCGTCTTGACCGGTTGCCTGGATCGAGGGCACATCTAAACTGCACACGTGGTCGTATTGTACGTGCATGTGTCCACACTGCAAACGCAGTGTGATGGGCACGGTTAGGCAACAATAATTTAAACAGGGATATCAGAACTTAAAGCTGGACATAGGAGGCAAAGCAGCACAAAAACAAATAATAATAACTCTGAGTAATTTGCGATTGGAGTAATGCGCTTGTGAGTTTATTTCTCAACAATTTCACGCTGGTGTCCGTTAATAGTCTCATACTCTCATGTGAAGGCGCATTATCATGATTTCACATATATTTGTCTTTAGTCGTCTGGTAAATTGTTTCCCAGATCCACTTTTGTGGTATTATGAATGAATAGATTAAGAATCTTGTTATTAGATTGAAACTTAATTGATGTAAGTGGTTCAAAATAGTCAAGAATGGAGTTTGTGGGGTAGTGGTGATGCAATTAATAAAAAACATGCCAACTTGATAATTTAAATTAGCTATGCGAAAGATTTAAGCTGAAACTAACGTAAATAGTGAACTGGAGGCTGCAATCGGAGTAAATGTCCCAATTTAAGTGCCTTTTGGGATATTACTGTTTCTTATTCGCTCCTCCTCGGGGCCTCATCGCTACTAGCTGAGACAGGTAATTTTTTACGATTTATACTTTGAACAAAGGCCCCGCTTATTATGTGAGCTGTAAACAGGTCTATTGCACTGATCATTCTTAGGATTTTGTGCTTGTTTACGTGCATACAAAAATAATTGCGGTTAAGGATGCTTATATTGTGTTGATAGATGGCCATGCTACTAGTATTGTTTAAGTAGGCTAGACTGTTTCCTGTCTTTTTTAGACACCATACTTTCGCATTTCCGTGATCTCTGACGAGATAGGCGCAGAATTGTGCGGTGCCCTTAAAAATATTGTCGCCATTGGTGCTGGGTTGGGCGAAGGCCTGGGCTATGGAGAGAATACTAAGGCTGCGATAATTCGTCTGGGTTTCATGGAAATGAAAAGATTCATCTTCCAGTTCTTTAGTAAGAGGGGTAAGTATCACGATGTCCTTATTTTTGACCAGACCTTAGACCCACTGAGTCAAATATCAGTCGCTTTATGCATTAAAATCTGTCGATTTGGTCTATTTCTCCCACAATGAGTAAAGGCTTGGATCGCTTAAACACACAAAGCGGAAAAGCAAGACATGAAAAGTAGGTTCGTTTGAATCAATTCTCATTCCCAAAGGGCACATCTCCCTAGTGTGATTTTACGATAAAATATTTGTTGAATGTAATTAATTGGCCTCTTTGCTGAACTTCAAACACAATACATTAACATGACTTTTATTTTGATCAAGGAAATAGAGCTGCAGCTATCACATTGCCAGCTATTTTCCACTCTTCAGGGCACTGTTAATAATTTTTTTATTTCAATAGGAATAAGGCTCCTCTTCTGCTTCGATATTTTCAGTCTGCGTCCACGCATTTTTGAAAACATTATCTGTTCTTTTTTCTAACTCGATCCACGAATATTTATTGGTGGCTCACTGTGCTTCTTATCTACATCATCTCAAGAAATTCCTAATTTCTTTCCAATCAACCATTAACTGTGGTTTGGCATCCAGTGTGTAATTATTTATTCATTTCCCCGTGGAATTAGTGTTAGCAAACCTATTTTCACTTTTGTTCCTGGAGACAGTGAAGCTCTAAAAAAGCCGTTCGGCACACATTACCCAAATTCCCAAAAGCATAAAAATGTGCAGTTTGAAAGCGATTTAGCACTTGCTCAACGCTAACGCCAATAAGGGCGATTCTCACCGTCATTTATCATTTTAAGTGGACAGATATGACCCTTCGTGTGCTCTCACCTTTTTTTGTGTCTTAGACATTAAAACACACGACCTCGAAGCGGTTTTTGATAATTAATTGTCATTTCATTATGTAAGGTCTATCAAAAAGAACATCCAGATGAATGCTTTTGATCCATTTAATTAAAATACATTTACACACACAAAGGCAGGTCCGGTACCCCTTTCATTACTCATTTATTAACGTATTTGAACCCCATTAGTCTCCAGCATTTAATTAGTCTTTCCATAATTGGTAGGCGAAGGGACTTTTTTTATGGGGGAATTTGAATGAATTGGGACATCAGATTTAAATTTATGGAGGAGACTGGGTTTTTTCTTGTTTTAGATTCACTTTGTATCTTTTTTAAGGGTAGGCTTTGGTCTATTAATGCTGTCCATTTTAAGCCTTACTAATTATATTCATCTGTCAGTGTTCTGCAATCCATTTCGTTTTCCAATGGGAATTTTAGCCTTCGCATGTGTTATCGCTTCGTGGCAAAACAGTATTCCACTCATCAGAATAATGAATCACTGTAGTAAAAGACAAGCGACACTCTCAATTCTGTTTTGTGCCTTATTTTTCATTATTATCATGTGCTTACTAGTGTCAGAGTTACTTCTTAAAGTGACATGTGAATAAAGGTTCAGGAGCGATAGTAGATTGTCAGTGGCCTACATGGTAAATACGAAGTTTATGGCTGTCATGCTTCAAATGTTCAACTCGGGTGTTAGAGTACGTTTTAAGAAAGCCTTTTCGTATCGCCAGATTAGAACCATACTGGAAGATCTTTTAGTCACCAAAAATAACTGAATGTCCGGTGTTTCTGTAAATTGTGAATTTAGTGCACACGGAACTGTGTTTTGACTTCTTCGACAGAAGATTAACAGATAGTAAAGTTATTTCAAGCCATTGTTATTATTTTGGCAAGGAATACACGAGTTTTCTCACTTACCGAATAATGCATTGTGTGAAGCTGGTTAGGAGACAGTGCAGATGCAATCAGCGAATAGTATCATAAGTAAACTAAATCCTATATCTTCTCATTATTTGGTTACATTTTCAAATCAACTTCGAGTGCCAGTTTTGTAGACAGCAATTTTCGAAATGCTAGGCGAGAAATAAGAAGAGACTATTTCTGATAAAACGAACTGAAGGACTACATTTATTAATCTACC